ACACACACACACACACACACACACACACACACACACACACACACACACACACACACACACACACACACACATGAATCCTGCACCTGAAGCTACAGCTGAATTTCAGAAGCTTTTTTTTTCTTCTTTTTTTTTTGTCCACTCTTTCTCCACTTAGGCGCTCCTACAAGTGGCGAAGAATCTCTTCACACACTTGGGTAAATCTTCCCTTCATTGTCTCCTGTTTCTGATCCTGTCCGTGTGCGGYTCAGACGTCTGTGTGGAACAGACACTGGTGGCGAATTTGCATTAACGGCAGACATTTAAACGGTCGCCTATTGAAACAAACGACGCACGTAATTAAATGAGCCACCGCTGACCGTAAAGGTGATAACAGCCAGGATCATAATCATAAAATCAAAAAGGCATTAAAAAATGATGGCTCAGCCCCTATCGCATAATTACACCGGGGCCACTTCCATTCTTACAGAGCAGCCAGCACCAACAGTAGAATGTGTCATTGTTGATTTATCGTGATTGCAGGTAGAGAAATTGATCCAGTGGTGGAGCAAATTGCCACTCACTGGACTCAACATTTGATTACAAAAGCTCTTATCAGCTTGTGCAGCTGATCCGCAGGTACTTGTGTCGTAATCTGTGTTTCTGTCAGCCCGGGCTTCGGTGCACGCCCATGATTTCTTCTGCTTTCCTTTTAACTCCTGCCTCTGTCTCTCCCTGATTCTTTCAGATGATGTCTCAGTGCTGTTACAGGAAATTATAGTGGAGGCCAGGAACCTCAGCGATGCTGAGATGTAAGCCCCTCTAATTCATCCTAATGTTTTAATGTGAAAGAAAGTGCATGGCTCTGTGTGTTAGGAATGGCTTTTCTTCTCTCTGTTTAAAAATATGGTTTCAGCAATCTATTCAACTTGCCTGATTTAATGGAAGCTGCAAAATGACCTGAGAGAGAATAGGATTAAATCTTCTCAAAGTTTGAGCTTTGCTCTGCTTTTTTCATCATTTCTCTCATTTCGTTTTCCTCTAGTTGTTCGGTGTTCCTGCTGGATCGAGTGAGCCACGAGTTAGTGGCCAAGGTGTTCGATGGTGGTGTGGTTAGTGAAGAAGAGGTAAAGCAAGGGATTTTTGGGGACATTTTAAAACTCATTGTCAGAAATCAAGTGCTGTGTTAGCTTTGTGACTAGATTATTTGTTGTTTAACAGGCTTAAAATGAAACCAAAACAGCCCCAGGTTCACATATTATGTTCTTCTTTCATCTAAATTAAACAGGAAATCAGAAGCTTTGAATTAAATGATCATATGTTCATCTGAAGTTGCTTTTATGTAATTTGAAACCTAACAAAGTTTTAAAAATTGTAATTTTTCATGATCTGATGCATAAAATATTAGTTACATGAGGCTGAGAAGTAAAAATAAAAATCCAAACCTATGTCTGGATCCTGTTGTCATCTTAAAGAGCCCACAGAGATCAGTATGAACTTGTTTAGGATGAGAACTTTCATGTGATTAAAACCATCCTGACAGGAGTGACAGGATGATTCATGCATCCATAGAAGTTGCTGAATGTTTTGACAAATATACAAATAATTGGGAACATTATATTATTGTCCTGCTAATAAATTATGCCATTTGAACCTAGTTTAAGTCTAAAGGAGGCTCGTCTTTGGAAGAATAATGATCTCACCCTCCAGCAGAGCTCCGGGGACTTACAGAATCAGAGCTAAAGTGCAGTGAAGCTGTTCCGGTGGTCCGGCCCTTTTATTAATCTCCTTCCAGCTGCTTTATCTAGACTTTGTATGTGCACATTTAACTGTAAAGCATCTTTATGCAATACAGTGGCTCTGCTTCCAGCTTCCTTTCAGTCTTCTCGTCACAGATAAACTCAGTGTGTTTGCAATGTCAACAGAAAAAAATTGGGTCATTTTATGCATTTATTAGAAAGCTGCCAAGTGACAGACTTTGCCTGCTGCTTGGGATATTTAGCTTTTTGTCAGCTCTTTATTTGCTGCCACAGTTCTGTCTTTTTGTYAGCTATAAAGTAAAAACAAACATGTTTTGAAATGCAATTCTTTATTCACACTATAGGCTTTATGTGTGGCAAAACCAACAGCTGTCTGTATGTGTCTGTGTAAACGCAGAATGAGTTTCGTATCCCAGCCGATCAGGGCATCGCGGGCCACGTCGCCACCACCGGTCAGATTTTGAACATTAAGGACGCCTACTCCCATCCTCTGTTCTACCGCGGCGTGGACGACAGCACCGGCTTCAGAACTCGCAACATCCTCTGCTTCCCCATCAAAGATGAGAACAACGGTAACTAAAAACACACATAGTTTTATACATTCATTCTAGTGTAGAAGCCAAGAAAAAAACATATGCTCAGTAAATTAACTTGGTTTTTAAAAACATAAGCCCATTTTTCTTGTATTTAATCAAGTTCAAACTGTGTCCAAATTGTTTCAGAGGTTTCGAACGTCTGTGCTTTCCATAAAGAAAGATGAAATAATGTAAATTTTCATTACATTTATCTCTAACACTCGACCCAGATACTGTAAAGAATGACGGCCCTTTGGTGGCCCAGATGTGGTTTTGGCCAGTGGTGGTCCATGCATGGGCCAGCACCTCATAAAGCAAACCACAACCGGGCCAGTTGTGGCGTTCTAGTTTTAAAACAGAGCCATCATTGCCAGACCTGGCCCACACCTGTCTGCTATGTGTATTTAGTTAATAAAAAGTCTTGTTATGTATCATGTTTTTAAATGATAAATATATCTTATCGTTTAATTCGCTCAATCTTAGGATGGTTTTTGTTTTCGCATAAAAGAATGAGGGGAAAATTTTGTTATTTTTGATTGGACCTTATTAACCACACACCACAGATGTATTTTTATTTTCATGAAAATATTTTTGATGAAATGTGTTAATCTTTAAAATGATATAAATAAATAGAAATTGTAATTGAAACATAACCAATAAGTCCCAAGCAAAAAGTTACGGTAAAAAATGAAATAAAATTTTGATATTAAGAAATACAATTATACAGTACTTTATAGTAGTTTAAATATGCTACAGTATACTGTATGTAATTATTAAAGTTGCTTCAGTGGGGCAGATTATTTTGTTTGCAACTAAAATTCAATAATGGATTTTATTCTCATAATGCGTATGTTTTTCTGAGTTATCTACAACACAGAGAAGATCTTTTTGTTTCAGAAAGCAAAACTTCATTTTCAGCCAGGTGCTCTCTCAGAATAGCACCAGCATCGGTTACATCACATCCTTGTGTCTGTTGCAGTGCTTAAAGTGCACTTTGGTCCATCTTCACTCTGTTATTTCAGAAATCTCAGCTTTGTTTTGAAGGTGCAGCCTGAACCAGCGCTTTGTTTACATTCGGATTCATTTGTCTCCATAAAGGAAACTCTCTGGAGCTCAGACAAATCGTTTGAATTCAGATCTTTTTATTTAATGTGTAATTAAAGAAATTAATCAGAGTTAGGAGACTTACATTTTGTGCCTTCCAGTGTTCTGTCCTCTTTTTATCTTAATCTTCTTATTATTGTTCTTTATCATCAACTCTGCCTCCATCTTTCTGACTAAATCGTTTCCCTGTTCTTCTCCCAATCAACATCCTCCTCTCACGCTCCTCATCTTTTTATCTTTCTCTCCATCCTCCTCCTCCTCTCTAAATCTCTCTCCTTTAGAGGTGATCGGTGTAGCCGAGTTGGTGAATAAAATGAACGGGCCGTGGTTCAACCGCTTTGATGAGGATCTGGCCACAGCTTTCTCCATCTACTGTGGCATCAGCATCGCCCACGTAAGTCACTTCTCCCACTCTCTGTAACCTTTAATATTTTTTAAATCCTCCACTCGTCCACTCCTCAGTGATGATTAATGCGTTCCCCGTTGATAAAGGCAGAGAGAAGAAGCCAAGTTAAAATTCAAACATGAACGGTGTCAAGTAAATAAATTCAAATCTAATTAAAAAGCAATAAACTCAGCTGTTCAGATTTTAAACGCTAAAGTCCTCCTCCTAAATGTATCTTATAATCTCTGACTCTATGGGTTCAATAAAATAAAAACTGTGCAGGAAACAAATATTTCAGATTTGCCCATCATTAGGAGTCACTCCCGCCTTGTGGCAGAGCCGATGCTAATGTAGTCAGAAAGATTGAGCCTGTCTGGCAAAATGAGATCTGTTCAGTGGGAGCAAAATGTTCAGTCAAAGCAGAGTGGAGCAAAGTCTCATGGGAAATTCTGAAGAGATTCAGTCTAATGGAAGTGACGGGTTTGTGCGGTGCCATTTGAAAGGCATTATACGACAGCTGCAAAGCCATTAACACACATTGAGTCGAGGAGTAGTGTGTGGCTCACAAAGATGATCACAGTGATGATGATTGTAACCATTATGATGATCGAAAAGAGAGAGCGGACTGAGTTCGAGTTGCTTTGTCGTTTTTCAGCAAAGCTGTTTATTTTTAACATCGATTTTTCCTCGTGTTTACAAAACCCGTGTGCAGGCTGAGGTTTATTTTCTGCTCTTCATCTCAAAACATGTATTTTAAAGTGATACATTAATGTGCAACTGAATCAGAAAGGAAGGATGGAAGAGAGAGGAACGCCGGTGAGGGAGGGAAGGAGGAAAGCAAGGAAGAAAGGAAGGAAAGAAGGAAGAACAGGTGAAGGAAAATTAGTAGAAAAGAATGAAGGGAGGGACAAACAAAAGGAATGCAGGAAGGAACAGAGACATTAAGAAGGAAAAAGAAAAAAGAAAGGAGAGGGAACAAAGGAAGTGAAACAAACATTAGAAAGAAAGAAAAAAATTAAGAAAGGAATGCAGAAAGTGAAGGAATAAAAGCATAAAAGAAGGAAGAAAGAGATAAATAGGGGAAGGATTGAGTCCATCAAGGACAAAAGCAAGGAAGGAAGCCAAGGAAAGATAGGAAAACAGGAGGAAAGAAGAGAAGGAAGGACACACAAAAGAAAAGGAAGAGAAAACAAAAAAGAACAAAGAAATGAAAGTAAAGGCAAAGAAGGAGAGGAAAAAGTGAAAAGGAACTGACTGAATAAATTAAATAAAAAACCTGGAATAAGTAAAGCTGAAGTAGAAGAAAGAAGACAAATAAAAGAGGAGTGAAGGAAGGACAGAGGGGATAAAAGGAACAGGAAATAGGAAGACCAAAAGATAAGTAAGAAAGGACTGAGGATAAAAGAAATTAAATAATGTAGTTGAATAAGGAGAGACAGGAGGAGATAAAAAAAACTTGTTTTTTTTTAATAAATTTCCCTTCCATCTTCTTAATAATCAGCACATGTAGGGTCTGACCTTTCTGCTGGTGTTTAATAGAGCATCTGGAAACTATAAAGATGGGATTGGAAAAATCATTTCTTCAAGGAGCCTCATTAATCTTTTAAACATTAACAAATACATTATTTATCTGTGGTACTACGGTATACAGTAGTCTACAGTAGATTGTATAATGCAGCTTTATTGTGTACTAAAATGTGTACTGTGGTCATCTGAACTTTACTGTTATAAATACTTTAACACATGAGACTCAGTCTAATGAATTATGTTATAAACATTAATAAATCATCAAGCCATAATAACTGATATAAATGTTTCTTTCACTACATTGAATTTAAGTATTTGGTCAAAACAAAAATAATAAAAGTGGTTATGTGTTGGCTGTTTGTTGGATTATTCTATAATTGTTTGTATTTTCTCCTCTTCTAGTCTTTGCTTTACAAGAGAGTCCACGAGGCTCAGTTCAGGTCCCACCTGGCCAATGAAATGATGATGTACCACATGAAGGTAAACCCAGATCTGTGGAGGGCCGAGTGTTTGCTCCTGCTGTGGGTATTTGTACTCCGTTTCATCCTGTGTACATTTTTTTCAGGTTTCAGAGGAAGAGGTGACCAAGCTGCTGGTGACCGGCATCGAACCAGTGAGGGAGATCCACCCGTGCTACGCTGAGTTCACGTACACGCCCCGCTCCCTTCCTGATGACACCACACCCCTGGTGAGGGCGAGAGGCGGGCGTGGGCTGAAAATGTCCAGTTTAAACAAGTCTAAGAGAAAATGTAATGAGACCTCCACCCTGCTGTGTGTTTCTGCAGTGTGTCCTCAGCATGTTTGAAGACATGGGCTTCATCAACACCTACAAGATCGACGTGCACACGCTCGCCAGGTCAGATTCCATGTGGCTGTTTTCTTTGATGAGTCTCTTTTGAATCCCTTCACGTTTTACTTTTTGGTGCAACTTGTGACACTTCCAGCAGGAATTCTATAAAATGTTTGCCAAAAATGTTGATTATAGCAAAGCACTTGAATGAATTGCTTAGAAAATTTGGAGTTCGGAGTTGTTTAAAGATGACAGCAATTTAGCTTTGATCTCGGCTGCGTTCAGACGAGCCATTGTCTTGTCAGTTCAGTCAGAGTTAAACTATGTTACGCTTAACATGTTGTTTTGCTTCATGTGTGTCACATAAATCGTCTTCAGAGAAAAGAACTGTGTACTTTATGTAAATAACTATGTTAAAGCAACAGTGGTTAAAAAAAAAAAAAAACTTTATTAAACCGAAGTTCACATTAACCTTTACACAACATTAATACAGCAGAAATACATTTAGGTTGTGGGTGCGCTTCCCCAAACCAAAAGAAATTAGGCTATTTAATGCAGGTAATACACTGACTGCTAACAACTCTGCTGAGCAATTTGTCCAAGTTAAACATCATCTGCATAAAGTGAAACCTTATTATAAGACTGTCTGCACTTTTTGGCCTCAACAAACCATGTCTTCACATTTGTTTTACAAATATGTCTCATATGAAACCAGTATAAAAACAACAAGAAGTCCAAGCAGGAAGAAGGTAGACTTTTTGAGATTGTGCACTTATTAATAGTACTGTGTTAAAAGTCACTGMTGGGCAACGCACCAAAAATCATTCTGTGCAGTGTGGTTGATAATTATAGGAGAAGCTATTTTGACGTGTGTCCTTCAGCACTGATGTGTTCTGGCCTTTGCAACGTGCTGTAAATGGGCTTTAAGTGCTTCTGGGACTGCATTATGCAAATTTGCATTCTCCAATAGACCCTGCCAGTCAGTCATGGGTCTGAAAACCACAAGATCGCAGACAGAGGGATGCAAAACAAAAGGCAAAACACACAAGATGGTGATGAGTGAGAATAAAGTTGTGGAAACAACATGTATGGTTCATTTTGGAGCATTGCTTTTTAATATTAGCAGGTGCGTAAGTTAGTGAGTTTTTACGTCATTAGTGTTCGAGCTGACTATTTTTATTTTTTTAATTAATGTTCTTTCTGCACAACCGGGTCATTATGTTCAAACTAAGATTACATGCCTGGGTTTAAAAAGAAAATGTGGGGAGATGACGTGGCACTTTTACAGAACATGTGCATGAGTCACAGGCACCATGATGAGACCTAATTAAACTGCTACTGTGGCGACAGGTTCTGCCTGATGGTGAAGAAAGGCTACAGAGACCCCCCCTACCACAACTGGATGCACGCCTTCTCCGTCTCGCACTTCTGCTACCTGCTCTACAAAAACCTAGGGCTGTCCAACTACCTCGAGTATGTTTCAAACAACTCCTAAACGTCTATTTTTTTTCCTTTTTACAATGTCAAAACGTTTTGCTGTTTTATTTTTTTTTCTGTTTCCTTTTAGGGATATAGAGATTTTAGCTCTGTTTGTTTCCTGTATGTGCCACGACCTGGACCACCGTGGCACCAACAATTCATTCCAAGTGGCCTCGGTGAGAGCATGGATTAATGTGTGCGTTTCAGAGGTGTAGACAGAACGATCAGGGCGGTAAAATGTCCAGAGCCTGAACGAGTTCGGAACATTTTCTAACAGTGTTTGAGTTTGTTTTTATCTCATCATGTGTGGAGTTTATCCACCTGTAAAACTGCCTACTAATTTATGCACAGCTCTCCTGCAACATTTTGAATAACTCAAATTTCTTAATATCAGCATTTTATCATTATTTTTCTTTCCTGCTAATCTGATCAAGACAAAACCTGAAGGATGTGACTTAACTGGGTGTTTGTTGTTTTTAAGCAATCAGTCCTGGCTGCTCTCTACAGCTCAGAGGGATCTGTGATGGAGGTAATGTCAGACCTATAACTCTTATCATTATCAGTAATTAAAAATAATTTATTTGTGCAATTAGTCCATTTCTTTACATTCATTAAACTGACCTGTGTGTGAGCAGCTGATGTTTTGTCCTGCTGTGACACCTTGTGGTGAACTGAGATTTTTTTTTTTACCTGTAACTATGAGTGTCACTTTAAATGGTTATAGGCACCTCACTTACATTTTTGCACATCACCCCCATTTTCCACTGTAGAGACATCATTTTGCCCAGGCAATTGCTATTCTGAACACTCACGGCTGCAACATCTTTGAGAAATTCTCAAGGAAGGTAAAAATATATGTTACATTTAATAATATCCAAGAGTTTTCTGGCAGTTTGTGTAACYCTAAAATATGTTCTGCGTGTTTTCAGGACTACCAGCGCATGTTGGATTTGATGAGAGACATAATTCTTGCTACAGATCTGGCTCACCACCTTCGAATTTTCAAAGACTTGCAGAAGATGGCTGATAGTACGTCTCTACTTTTTTTTCTGCTGTAATAATTTGGATCTTGTTCAACAGAAAAATGTTTTAAGTACTGATTTTTAGAGGTTTTCATAATTAAACTGCCCCATTTTAATGAAATATTTTGTTAAATTACTAACAAATGTACATCAATTTGCATCTAATGGCTAAGTAATCACTGATAGACACACAAAGCCATTTTCTCCACATAAAAAAAGTTTCTCACTCAACATTTTCATTAATTATCTAATTTTCTGCAGTCTCTCTCAGTTGCTTGTGCTCTTGTATATTATAATTGGGTGTAACCTCTTGGTTGGAGGTTTGTTACGCCTGAATGCAACTAATTATAAGTTACCCTGAGTGGATGCCTCCACAGTGAATTTGGTCTTAAGCTGCTAAAGTAATTCAAGGACATTTAAAACGTCGAAATGAGTTGGACAATTTTTTTATTATTTTTTTTCTGCACCGTGGAGTTTGGAAGCTGTCATTAGTAGACAAAAAAATTGAACCAAATGCAGAAAAAATACATGCAAAGTTAGCAGTCAGGAGAGTAATTTTTCTGCTGTCAGTCATAAAAAATATATATTCAGCTTTTTTTGTCAGTAAATTGTTTTTTGCTTGATGATGTCATTTAGTTAGAAAAAGTTTGAATGCTTACATTTTTTTTTAGATATCCTAAGGAGTGATTTTGGAAGGTCATTCAAAGATATATTTATTTATTTGTTTACTGTGACTTTTTGCTTATTTCCTGTCTAGTTTCTTAAAAATGAGAAAAGTAGAAAAGTGGAAGACAGTAGATAGATGGATAGATCTTAGTGCTAAAATATTAAATTTGGCTTTAGTATTAGAAGAAATTGTGTTTTTGTTACAACATGTAACAAAGTGTGGAAAGATTGTATTTAAAATAAGTTTTGTGGTTTGTGGTTTAATTAAATGATTCATAGGTCAGAGTTGAGTGACTAAATAAACAAACATTCCTCAGAAACTGGGTAGAAACTGGATTGTAAATGAATTTTAAAAGCAGCCAAAATCTAAATAACTGGTGCCAAAAACCAAAAGAAACCATTGATCAAGACCAGTTTAAAAGATAACAAAGACGTCTGGCTGCTTTTAAGGAAAATATCATTTGAAGAGGTATTTGAGCTGAGTGTTTGTGTACGTTTCAGATGGCTACAACACAAAAAGTCGTACCCATCACTCCCTGCTGCTGTGCCTGTTGATGACGTCATGTGATCTGTCCGACCAGACCAAGGACTGGAAAACCACCCGCAAGATCGCTGTCAGTTGACACAGTTTACACACGACTTTACAAAGAAATGCAGCAGAAACTGTTGATGCCATTAAGTTATTCATAAAGACTTTCAGCCGTACACTCTGATTAAAAGATTCAAAACCTGTAAACAACCTTTAAACATAAATAGTCTGTTATTAGATCACCCTAAATTTTGGGATTATGTTTAATCTGAACTTGCCCCCTTTTCCAAAACAAAAACCTCATAAACCCCATCCTAAATTCTGCCCTCAATCTCCAAACCGTAACACCCAAAATAAACACAGAATAATCCGTGTTCCCTAAAAGTAGAAAATCCATTTCTCCTATATTTAGTGAAGGAAATCACTGCACCACACCTGACTTGTTCTGCTCTCAGCAGGTGAAGCCATCACTCCACATAGTGAGCTGGAATAAAGACTGGAATTGGCTGGAAAAAGTCACAAAACCAAAAATCCACAAATGAGCCTGGCTTTATTTATAATTTACTGAATTTAATGTTTTAATCTTTGCATTTAAAGTGTTTTCTAAAAAAATTAACAAATAAACAATCTGTTAATACAAATATGCAGCATGGTGAACAGAAAGATTTCTGTCTCTTTTTGTTTCTGCAGGAGCTGATTTACAAAGAGTTCTTCTCTCAAGGAGATCTGGTAAGTTTCCCAGCTGTTTAATGGCTTTGGATAATGGGTTACTGAGTTGTTTTACCCATTACTGGGTGCATTACTTGTGTGACGCATGTTTGCGTGTGGGTGTGCGTGCAGGAAAAAGCCATGGGGAACCGGCCGAGTGAGATGATGGACAGAGAGAAAGCGTACATCCCAGAGCTACAGATCAGCTTCATGGAGCACATCGCCATGCCCATCTATAAGTATGTATGAAAGAGGCTCACTCCGGCCTCGCCCAGCATCACACAAAGCTGTGCAAAGTCACTGATTTCTACTTCTTAATGTTGTTACCATGATATACAGTACATACATACATAYACAGCAGCGGGTAAAATAAGTATTGAACACGTCACCATTTTTCTCAATAAATATATTACTAGAGGTGCTAATGACATGAAATTTTCACCAGATGTCGGTAACAACCCAAGTGATCCATACATACAAAGAAATCAAACCATAAA